CCTTAGGAGTAATTGCAAGACAATGCTAAGAATTTATAACTTTTTAGTAGATCATGTGACCTGTATGCTAATTTACATAAATTCACGCTGAACCATTCAAAGGAGATCAGTCCAAAACCTTGCAGAAATATTCGCCATACTTTCATCTTTATTTAATACTACATGATCTTTTTTTATGTTTTATTATTTCTAAGGATTCACGAATATTATTAGCTCTTATACTTTTTGGTTTAGCTAATATTACAGTTTTTTTCCCATAATATTGTGTGTTGTATTTCCTGTACATGTTCTGCTATGGATGAATTTTCAGTTTTTTATTTCTTACATATCCCCTATGCTCATATAAACGGTATTTTAAATTACAGAGCTTTGAAAATATGTACTAACCAAAATGATTTAAAAAACGAATTGTTATTAATTAAATATATAGCAGTCGAAAGAGGTTTTAACCCAAATATTATAGATAGATCAGTTAAGAAATTCACTAATGCTAGAATAATTTATCAAATTAGTACTTTAAAACCTAGTTATGAAAAAATTTGAAAGGAAGGCTTAATTTTACCATATGTTCCAGGTTTAACTACTAGTTTATTTGAAGTGTTTAAAAAACAACAGATATTCTACCCTATATTTAAACCGATAAATAAGATGAATCAAATGTTAGGTACTACGAAAGACGAAATACAGTTAACTGAAAAAACTGGAATATGTAAAATAGAATGTGAATGTGTAAGTATTTACATTGGTCAAACAAAACGTAATTTAAAATACCGTTTATATGAGCATAAAGGATATGTAAGAAATAAAAAAACTGAAAATTTATCCATAGCAGAACATGTACAGGAAACACAACACACAACAATATTATGGGAAAAAACTGTAATATTAGCTCAACCTAAAAGTGTAAGAGCTAATAATATTCGTGAATCCTTAGAAATAATAAAATATAAAAAAGATCATGTAGTATTAAATAGAGATGAAAGTATGGCGAATATTTCTGCAAGAATGTGGATTGATCTCCTTTGAATTGTTTAGCGTGAATTTATGTAAAATAACATATAGGTCCCATGATCTACTAAAAAGTTATTTATTTATCTAAATTTCCTTATAAGTGGTGATGGGCAGATCACAGATAGCTCATTGTGTAGCTTTGTGCTTAATTACAAACAATCCTTATAAGTGAACATACTATTACAAATGGTTAGTTGGTGGTAACAATAGATTAGTCAGTAAAGTAGATTTTGGAATGTTATTTCATAAGTGTGATCAAAATGACATTTTCCTATTTTAGTTGGATCGGAGATAAAGGTATTGGACATTGGTGAACGTCAGATCACAGAAAATAGCAGTAATCCCAGTCCCAGTTCCGATAAAAGAAGTCTGGCTTTTGCTACAAATATAACCGACTCATTTTCTTTCTTCGAAACTGTCACGGAAACATACATTAGCTCAACGACGCACATGGAGACATCAGAAGATAAGAAAATGTCTACCGGAGGAGAGTTTGTATCTTCAGTGGTAGATGGCGTTGTTTCACTACTTTACGTAACTGTTTCAGACGTGGAAAATAACTTAGAAAGCAACACCACCAACCTCCGTGTCTACTCTACAATCAGTCTTCCCCCAGTAACTTCAAATTCATCAAAACAGAACAGTACAAGAAATATGTCATCTTTAGATTATGAATATTACACAATACAAGAAAACCATAAAACTCCGCCTTCAGTAGAAATGGAAATTCCTGGTAAGAAGGAAACAAAGATAAGATTTTATACATATTTCCTTGAAAAAATCTATTGATAATAATAAATAAAGTTACTGACTTTAATTTACTTTATTTTTTTAATAAGATACTTCTGATTTCGAACATCTTTGATTAATTTGAATTTTGTATTTATGGCGAAACTATTAGAGTTATCAGTCACAGTCAATAATTTGTAACTATTGACCAGAGGGAAGGCAGCCATCAGGTAACCCTTACCATCACCATCTACGTTAAGTTGTTGATTGTCAAGTCTCATAACACACCCAAAGCAGGGAATATTTTGTGGTATCATGGATTCGAACTCAGCTCACCAGCTTCGAAACCTAGTGCTCTATCACAGTACCATTCCAAGCCCCTTTGGTAGATAAAATATTAAATGAACAGATTCCCACTTAAAGTAAGTAAATCAATGTGTTGTCGGGATAGTATGGCTAATTCCTCTATTAGAGTTGCTTCCAGTTCATCAACACTAAATGGAGGCGCCAAGCGTCTTCCTATACCCTCCTGTAGGTGGTCAATCACATTCAAGCAGGGTGAATGTGTTGGAAAGTCCCTTTCCTCGATACCGTCTTCTTCCAAGCAGTTCTGATCACTTGTACCTGTATATGGCAACACTGTGCATCCCTATAACGCATGGCATTCATAGTGCCGTGTTCTATCACATAAAGGTCATTATGGCCGCTAATACTGTCCGTGCCCAAACCAACATGCCATTCCTGCGACATCATTGTGTTCCTTCCAAGAAACCGGGAATGGTTCTGATCCTAGAAACTCAAAATGTGTACACATTTCATACCAGTTTGCATATAAAGTATTATTCATCTGTGAGCAAAACAATCGCCCTCATGTCATTTGACCCATCTACACATTCCTGACACTCCTGAAAATGGGCTGTTTTGTGGCAATAAGATAGAAAAACTAAGTTACTGTCATCTATCTGTCATAAAAGCCAACTCTTATTCATAACAGTGAATATGTTTTATAACAATATAATTAAAAATTGCTAATTTAAAAAGGGGAATTGGAATCGTCAAAAAAGTACAGAAACAAGTTGAATACAAAATGCAAAGATTATATGTTCAAAGCCTACAACTAGAGACTCTAAAAAAGTAAACAAACTAGGCTGGAATAGTGTCTCACTTTTTTTCTCAAGCTACAAATGCCTGTTTTGACTCCACTAAAATGTATAAGTACTTTTCATGATAGCTAGCATATTGTTGCGTCAGCGAGGTCACGTGACTAGTATCACGCCATTTCTTTC